TACATATTTTTGTTTTAAATTGTAAGCATTAAAGGAAACTAAGGAGGAAGTTCCTGGAAAATTCCAACGAAATTATAGAAAGTTCCAGGAAAAATGCATGGATCAACCTGTAAGGACACTCAAATTTGGAAAGTGGAAGCATTGAATTATACTGACCCAGGCAGCATGAAGGCTTCAAGCTTTCCCCTTGGAGCTTGACGTGTGAAGCAATGTTGTACCACTGGTATTGTCTTGCTCTCGTTAGAAATACATGGAAACATAACACTGACGATCTCAATAAATTGTCTTCGATGGGCGCTCAAAAGAGTCAGAGATCAGTGTACCTAACGAAGTGCCGGCGGCACGAATGCGAATCAGAGAGGCACGCCATGGCGGCAATTACACTGATTGTGCAACGGATGACTTCGGGTTATTGCCCAGACTCCTCGAAGAAATCGAAGGGAGGAGATTAAAGGGACGAGAAAAGGGTATAATGTAGGGAGGGACCCACCGAGGAGCCCGGGAGATTGCGAGCGCGGTGTACCGGCAGACTGCCGCCGCCACAAGAGACATGCTGAGACCGTGCTGAGACGAGACCCATGAGATATATGGAAATTGGAATGGCGAGGGTACCAATTTATAAAAAATGAGCTAGAAAAAATCTCGTAATGTAAGGACTCTCGGGCTTGGTGCAAATCCAGAAGAGGCGGGGCAACTTCCTGGAGACGGGGTGGGGAAATTCAATCACAAAATAAGGTAATTTCATGCCGACTCCGTCCTTTATCGTTCTTTTTTGTCATTTTTACTACTTTTGCGTTACTGACATCCACGTGATTAGCAGCAAAATGACGCATACACACAAAATTGGCACATTATTGTTTTTGTCTGGCATAAAACAGCCGCCAAGCCAATGCGCCATCCCAGCCGGGGTCAACAGCCGAGAGAACACACCCTGGTTGAAAATGTTTGAGCAGCGCTTCATCTTAGTACAGATGTCACCCGCACGTCATTCATTTTCCTTGGGATTTCACCGGATAACAGGTCCCCTCCTCCGGTCGCGCATCGCAGATGCGAGCTCCCCCCCCCCGCTCTTTGGCGCGGGCATGAATGTCAATCTCTCAACAACTGACTGATGAAAGGCCTAAGCAATTTTCGGTACTTCATTTCGCACAAAGCCCTCAGCATTAGATGTATCTGTTGATGATAAATCTGCCCCAATTTTTGCTGCAGTGGAGACCAGATTCTCCGGGTCAATAGAGGAGAATATTTGGACGGGTTTTTATATAGTCGGGAGCCTTTAAAAAAAAGGAAAATACTGCCGTTTTTAAATGCATACTCCATCCAACCGTTCATCCATCTTTTTGAGAGACGAGGATGGTTATGGCTGATGGATGGGTGAGGCAGCCATTAACAGAGGGAAAATGCCTTTGTCTTCGCTTCACCCGTTAATGCATACATTTTTATCAGAGATTTTATACATAAGCGGGAAATCTGTCTCTGAAGAGAAACGTAAACCTTTCGATGAGTAGTTCGGCAACTCAAACACCACCCACCCATGCCAAAATCGATGGAAATAGTGTTGTCCCAGGGGTTCGAAATCCATCGTTCCAATTGGGACTCGTGGAACTATCTCTGAAGATACATTTTTTTCTGTTCGTTGAAAGCTTTTCCATGCGGCTTTGGTCGACTTCGGCAGAATAACAAAATAAAGCGCTTGAACTGTTTTCTAAAAGTTGCATTATCTGTGCTGTCTCGAAATGGTTGTCTTTTTTTGTTCTTTGGCGTTCCATACACAATGGCACTTTCTTGCTAGTAGCGCTGAGCTCTCTCAGACCGAAATCATAATCGTTGTTCTTCTCGGGCAAAAATCAGACCAACAGTGGAAACGAAAGCACATATTTTCTCTAGTTCGAGAGATATTGGGCGAGCTCAGCCATTAAAACGGAGCGACTCTACCTTGACCTTGGTATTTTGGGCCATTCCGATTAGCAGGCCTTACAAACAAATTTACTGCGTCACAAAACGCAGGGACATGTAGGCCTACACTGTACTTTGCCATCATTTTTGATTTCATTGATCTTTAGACGATGGTTGGTTAATGGCCTCATTCTGAGTATCGCTCAGGCTAATGTGCCTCGAGGGGGGAAAATAGTGCCTGAACACCCTCTCTTTGTCCTGTGCAAAGTTTGTGAAGTAGGGTCCCATATGGTTGCAGACCACTAATTCAAGTGAGAATTTTTGACCAGCTCATTAGCATTAAAAGTGCCCCCACAGTATCTTTTGAAAAAGGAGATTATTTGGCCCCCAAAATAATGAGATTGTGTAAATCGTTGCCAGGATCAACTCCCTGGGTCTTTGAGCTTTCATTTGAGGGCAGAAGGGCTAAAAACTACGGTTGAAAAATGGTCCTAAGTGCCCGAGAAAG